ACCATTTACCTCTGAATTGTAGTGGAGTAGAAGTACAGAGTAGCATAAAATGTATGTACCTCAAAGTAGTACTTAAGTACAGTACTTGAATAAATGTACTTAGTTACTTCCCGCCTCTGTCTAATAATAATATGTTCACATTGTTTTACCTACGCTCTTTTCGTGCAGTTATGAACTTTTTCCTGACCCAAAATATTGTTTTATACCAGCACACCTAAATTACTTCCTAAAATCACACTTATAGATTCCTAAACCCTGCACTTTATCCAAAGATATTATACATTTATTTACATTACTACACAATGTTTGTTATGTGAGTTTATTGAAACTCTGCACTTTCTTTGCACGTTCTGTCTGGATGCAAACAAGTTGAATCTAATCTAATCTAGTAACATAAAAACATGATCTGAAATAAGATCAACGAGAGCCACAGAGACTCCTAAATTACATCCTTAAATCGCATGAAGACCGTTTTAAGAAAGAAACAAAAAAGTATATATACATATATAGTTAAAAAAAAGCTGAGGGTTAGGCTAGGTTTCTTTTTCAGAAACAAGTCCTGTTTCTCACTTGAGGCCAGGAAAAGGCTCTGTGACCTTTTGACCTGTGCTGGACTATGGGGATCTGATCTATATGAATGCACCTGCCCATTGCCTGGTCAAGTTAGATGCCGCCTATCACAGTGCGCTGAGATTTGTGACTAACTGTAAAGTATTAACCCATCACTGTACCCTGTATGCCAAGGCAGGTCTGCCTTCACTTACTGTACGGAGGCTCAGTCATTGGTACATTTTGGGTAAAAAAAATAAAAAATTGGTAGCCATGTTGGGTAAACTACCATCTTACATCTGCTCTCTGATCTCACACAGAGTTGCAGGTAGCTACTGCCTGAGATCTCATGATGTGGTTTTGTTAAATGTGCCAAGTAGGATTGTCTTAAGTACGAAAGCTTTTATGTGCGCAGCTCCTCTAACTTGGAATAGTCTGCAAAAAGAATAGAAAGTGAGCAATCTGGTTCCACTACCTGTTTTTAAAGCTCGGATAGATGCGATGCAATCTGATGCTGTGGGTACCTGTAAATGTCGTTAGGTATGTAAATTGTAAATCCCTGTATCTATGTTGTGATGTCCTTTTGGTTGTTCTGTTGTTTTCTGTTTTTCTGTCTTCATGTGGAACCTACTGCTGCAGGTCTCCCTTGAAAAAGAGATCGATGATCACCTGCTCAAATAAAGGTTTGAAATGAAAATAGTTATTTTCATAATAATGTAATTGTCTTTGTGCCTTTGTTTAAAATGAATTTTTGAAAAAAGAAAGATGAAATGGTTGTTTCTACATATTATTATGCTGCTATGAGACGTTAATAATACTTACAACTAATGATCAACAGTCACATGTTGCTATAATAAAATACAAGCATGAATATCAGTCAAAAATAATGTGTTAATTTAAAATAACAGTTATTGCTAGAAAGCATTATTTATTATTATACATCTGTATGTACACCTTTCTTTAACTTATATATATATATATTCCTAAACCCTGCACCGTATCCAAAGATATTATACATTTATTTACATTACTACAACATTGTTTGTGAGTTTATTGAAACCCAATTGCACATTTCTTACGTTCTGTCTGGATGCAAACATGCAAAAGTTGAATCTAATCTAATCTAGTAACATAAAAACATGATCTAAACTAGAGAGCCACAGAGACTCGAGCACTTCCTGAAACGTCAGCGTGATTTCCTCTCGTGCTTCGACATGTCAGACGCGCTTTTTCTTCCTCGTCCTGCAGGCGACTCGGTTAGTGTCTCTCTGTTAATGTGGCTGTGCAAACACTCCGAGCTCCTCGGCACCGCTGAGTCTAGACTCTGATATTCCAGACCTCTGCCCTCTCCTCTCACCTGCAGACGGTTAATTACCCGCAGAGCCACAGCTTTAATATTCATGGTCTGCAGAGTGAGCTGCTCTTGGTGTTCAGTTTGCCACATCTCATTTCATATGCAAAGCCTAATGCACTCGCTGAGGCCTTTCATCAGAGAAGAGCTAATACGCTCTGCAGCCTCTAAGGGCCTGTGATGAAAGGGTTAACACCGCAGTGCTGATTATTCTCTCATTACATGTGAGTAAACACCGTCAGAGCGTAATGTGGATTAACAGAAGACACATCAGGAGGAAGAGGAGTGACAGCTGGGAAACTGCAGAGGATTTATAACAGGAAATAATATCAGTTCATAGATTATAAGGATGGTTTTCACCCTAAAAATAGAGAAATTCCATCTGCAAAGCGTCGCACTTTAATCAACAATGACTTAATGGCAATAATTAGTATTTAGAGATTAACTTTAGCAATACTACAGGGTAAAATACTGCTTTAAAAAATCTAATAAAAGCACAATTATCAAACAAAGTGAAGGAAGTCAAAGTATTTGTTATAAAGAATAAGAACAATTGTTTATAATAATGATATATTGATTATTTATGTTAGTATATTAAACACTTTTCAAAATGCTTTAGATGACAGATAGCTGATTACATATCTTAATTTATATATTTTGTATTAACCCTTAAATGGGCATTCACAAATACTTATTTTAGAAAATTAATTGATTGTTTTTAAAACATTACACCCCTCTTACTCCATTGTGACACAAGTATTACACCCATGTTATGCTGCTATTAAGCCTGTATTACACTTGTATGAGACCCATGTTACACCATTATAATTAAATGAATTGTCTGTACTAATATTGAATGATATGTACGTCAAAAATGTTCTTAATTATAATACTAATGTACATTTACATTTAATTCTTCACTGGACCTGAGATCTCACAGTTAAAGGGCTTTTAGGCTTTTATTTTGTAACGCAAGAACCATTTCAGACCTAGGGTATCGTTGAAAATGTGTCTGCTTTCAGTCACAAAACTTCACTTTGCAAACATACATATAACAAACTAGAACACAACACAATACAAGAGAGACACAAAAAGTACATTAAGTACACAACATATTCCTGATATTAGATATAATTGACTTACTTGCCCTTTCTCTCACAAAATAAAATACAACCTGAAGTCGAATAAATAGTTCTTAATGTCTGCCCTTTCTATTATTTATTTTAGGGTTTTTATTTTGTATATGTACCTCAAACATTTTCTTAATTACAACACTTAGGTGACTTTCCAGCATGCTGCTTCAGATGTGTTTTGGTTGCTTCAGAGAGGATTTGTGCGGGATCTCCTCACACCTCCTGCTCATGTTTCACCTCGGCTGCAGAGCAGGAGTCAAAAGTGACGCGAAGTTCAGTGGGAACGCTGCTCTGAGGTCAGATCCACAGAGCACACCTGACCATTACATCCTCAGAAATAACACAGAGAATCCAGAGAGAAAAAGCTGCGTCTGAAACAATCAGCTGTGTGACTGAGTGGGAAACACAATACCATGCATTAATGGAGTTATGTCATAATAAAAAGTCCTTTTGCAGCATAAAAAACATAACAACACAACAAGAAAATGACAGTTCTTGTTCTGAATGTCTGTATTTAAGATCAGTTCCCAGGACAGTGGACCTTAACTGTGTTTTTTGATCAACTTGAACACATTTGGTTGATATTCCTCAGATGTAAAGTGTGTCAGGAGTTATTCTTTCCGTGTTCCCAGGCCTCACTGCTGTCCAAACAGCACGAGGTGTAAAGTCCTCACACTTCACAGCTGCTGCCCGGCACACTTCTCCAGGCTGAGGACAGCGTGGCGGAGTTAATGAGATGCAGGACTGCCTTTTAATGAGTCTCACAAATACACAAATTAACAAAAAAGAAGATAGGACACGGTGTTGTGCTTCACTGGACCTGAGATCTCACAGTTAAAGGGTTTAGGCTTTTATTCTGTGATCCAAGAACCATTTTAGACCTGGGGTATCGTTGAAAATGTGTCTGCTTTCATTCACAAAACATCACTTTGCAAACTAGTACACAACAGAATAGAGGAGAGCTAATGACAACACAAAAAGTATATAAAGTACACAAAATGTTTCTTATTTTATATATAATTTAATTGAACACTTGCTCTTTCTCTCACAAAAATAAAATACCACATGAAGTATACATGTTATACTATATACAAGAATACATTGTTCTTAATGCCTGACATTTTTATTATCTTTTTTAGGCATAAGTATTTTATTAAATGCAGACATTTTTATATTTGTACATATAATTGAAGTATTATGCACACGTTCAACTTCAAATGATTATGTTTGTATGAGTATTTTTATTTTATTTTATTATTGATATTATTTATATTTAATTTTTGAAGTTGTATGCAAACATTTTACTTTATTTTGTTTGTAGAATTATTTTGTATTTATTGGATTTTTTTGTTATTATACATTTCATTATTTAACTATATAAAAAATATATATTGTATTTGTTTATTTTCTTATATATTTATTTTTATTTGATTCTGAAAAGAGCAACTGTTACAAAACCCGAATTTCCGCGTTGGATAAATAAAGCTTAATTCTGATTAAATGTTTAATGTATTTCTCTTTAGCTGCTTCATTTAATTTCTTATTGTAAATAATAATAATAATAATAACAATAATACATTGGATTTTTATAGCGCTTTTCCTAATGCTCAAAGACGCTTTACATGAAATCTAAAATGACCCCTCCGGTTCAGACCGAGCCCTTTAACTAAAGTAAATGATTCATGTGTTTCTCTTTCATTGCTTCGTGTAATGTCTTAAGGTGTAACTCCTCTCCTGTTCCCAGGCTGCAGGAGTGGGTGGTGTGAATTTCTCTCCATCATTTCTCTCCGTGTGAGGCTCACCGAGTCACACTTCAGTCCTGGAGCTGCCATGTTTCCCATGAGACCCCCCGCCCAGATTCTCAGGACTCAAGGTGGCCGCTGGAGGTGCAAAATCACACCTCTCTCCTCATATATGGATCCCACATCTCCTTCAGTCCTCACTCTCCTTTCCTGCCTCACCAGAAACACACTCTCTCTGCTTCTACCGCTCCTGCAGCCATGGATGTTTCCTACTGCTCCGATCTGCAGCTCCACGACGATTCCTTCCTCTTCGACTCCCTGATGGACAAACAATACAACACGTTGGCCTTCGATGCAGCTTCAGATCCTGGGTATTTCAGTGCCAGCAGCAGCTCCTTGTCTCCCACCTCCTCTGTGGACTCGTTCTGCTTCTCCCCCAACGCTTTCCAGACGAACGAACCCAACCCTTTGGACTGTTTCGTCTTCAAAAGCCCGGCAGTTCCTCAGCAAAAGAGCCAAGACGCCCAAACTCTTCCTACCTCCACGACAAAGAAATCCAGATCCAGATACCCGGGGAAGAAGCGCCAGACAGCGAGCGACAGGGAGAAGCACAGGATGAGGGATCTGACCAAGTCTCTGAACCACCTGAGGACGTATTTACCTGAATCTGTGGCTCCAGAAGGACAGACCCTCACCAAAATCGACACTCTGCGCCTCACCATCCGATACATCTCGTACCTGTCGGCGCAGCTGGGCCTCAGCGAGGAGGTTTTGGAGCAGAAAGCATCAGAATCTGTTCAAGAACCCCAAAATCTGCAGCAGTTCCTGGGTCAGCCGACAGAGAGTTACACCCAGCAGGAAGCAGACTTTCCCTCCATGAGCACGACCCCAATGCAGCCCTCCTATCAGGTATGTTCATATCATGCTCTGAGCTCTTCTCTCTATGCTTTACTGCACTTGTTCTACGTCACTGACCAGAGGACAGTCTCAGCTCAGAGGACAGTCTCAGCTCAGAGCCTCCATTTAGTCCAAACTTGGCTGAAATGTTGGTTTTATTTGACTGCCTGTACGAAAGATGCTTCTTCGCAGTTTCATGTGGTGGAAGAAGTACTCAGATTACTTACTAAAGTAAAATTACAAATACTATGGTCTTAAAATACTCCATAACAGTAGTATTCCAACTTTTACTCAAGTACAAGATCTGAGTACTTCTACTTTTACTCAAGTACAAGATCTGAGTACTTCTACTTTTACTCGAGTACAAGATCTGAGTACTTCTACTTTTACTCGAGTATAAGATCTGAGTACTTCTACTTTTACTCAAGTATAAGATCTGAGTACTTCTACTTTTACTCAAGCACAAGATCTGAGTACTTCTACTTTTACTCAAGTACAAGATCTGAGTACTTCTACTTTTACTCAAGTACAAGATCTGAGCACTTCTACTTTTACTCAAGTACAAGATCTGAGTACTTCTACTTTTACACAAGTACAAGATCTGAGTACTTCTACTTTTACTCAAGTACAAGATCTGAGTACTTCTACTTTTACTCAAGTACAAGATCTGAGCACTTCTACTTTTACTCAAGTACAAGATCTGAGTACTTCTACTTTTACTCAAGTACAAGATCTGAGCACTTCTACTTTTACTCAAGTACAAGATCTGAGTACTTCTACTTTTACTCAAGTACAAGATCTGAGTATTATGAAATATTAGAGCCTAAATGTAAAATGTAGACACCATGCTCTCTGCACTTATTCTACGTCTCGTTGGTTAAATCATGGGTAAATGAAATGCTCAAACAAACCCAGGAATGGAAGTGCTTTTGAATGTCAGAGATGTTGAAGTTGATTAAGTTTCTAACAGAAATGCTTTTCTTCTGTCCTCAGGTTTCAAACGGAGCTTCTCTCTTCTCCAGCGAACAGTTCTGGCATCTTCAAAACGCAGCGTTCCCCGGACACTGCTGAGGACGCCAATCCACTCGACTTTATCTCATTGCAACAATGACCTCTAAGAACATTTATTTAATGGACGAAATGTCTCCTTTTTGTTATTTTCAACAACATATATTTATGTCCTTAATATTGTACATAGAACTGTTTATTTATTACATTTTCTACAACAGAATAAACATTATTTATCAAATGTGAAACCCTTGAGTGTGTCTCTACCTTCTTGACATATATGTACTTTACCTAATTATTTCTCTTTGATGCTACTTTTTACATTTATTTTAACACTCACAGGTACTTTTTACATATAAAAACACATTATATAGTATAATGCAGTACTGTCCTACTACTCTACGCAGTATTTTAAGTATCTTTATTGGCTCCACATTTACAAACAAGGCTTACATGCAATTAAAAACAGGCTAAAATAAGAACCATAAAAACATAATACTGTAAAAAGATCCATCCTTTAAACGAGTACTTTTACTTTTGATACCTGAAGTACATTTACCTGATAATACTTCTGTACTTTACAACATTCTGAAATGGGTCATTGTACAGAGTACTTGTTGTACTTTAAGTATATTTGATGCTATTAAGATAAGATCAGATCAGAAGTACTTTATTGATCCCAATGTGGGAAATGTTTGCGCTGCAGCAGAAAGAGACACGGCACATTAGAGAAATTACAAGACGAGAAATAAACAATCCAAAATGTAAACATCTCAAATTACTTTCAGAATCAGAATCAGAATCAGAATCAGGTTTATTTCCAGGTAGGTTCACACGTACGAGGAATTTGACTTGGTGTCATGGTGCATACATACAAAATAACATTAAAAAATATAGTAAAATATTGCAGTATTTAAATAGAAATAAAATGGATTAAAATGGAATAAGATCATTAGTACTTCTACTTAAGTAAATTATCTACTTCTTCAAACACTGGGGTCTTCTAATTGGTGCTTGTTCACTTCCTAAAATAAACAGCTGTCAGTGGGACTGAGGTGCTAAACAGGCAGCACATCCCCTCTAAAGTCCTGGAGGAAAGACCCCCCGCTGAGAGGAGGCAGCTGGAGAAGAAGCACCTCTGCTGAGTCAACATGGCTGTGTCAGGAGAAGGAGGTCATCGGGATAAAGAGGATGGGGTATTAAAGTATAAGTATGAACAAAAAGCGACCTTAAATAAATAAAAAACTGATCCAAAACAAACACTAGAAAAATACATGAGCAGGCACGATCAACAAAAGGAAAAGGAGCAAACAAAAAATCGAGAATGGAAATCAATGACGACGAACCGACAGAGAACATAACACAAAACTAAATAACTAAGACCAATCCCAAGAAAAGAGACAGCTGGGGAGGTGAGACACGATCAGGCAATCAGACAGGAGGTACAACACGGGAAGTAAGACACAAGGAGAAAATACATATCTAAATAAAACAGCAAACTATAAACAAATACTCAGATGGTGACACTTCACCCCAAATTGCTCCTGTGGGGATTGCGCATAAATCACTTTGGATAAAAGCGACTAACAAGTGACATGTAATGAAATGTAATCAGACAGAGGAGCGAAAACACAAGGAGAAAATACACATCTAAATAAAACAGGAAACTATAAACACAAAAACTCCGATCTTGACAAGCTGGTAGTTAGAATAATTAAAACAGGCACATGACTTTCAGCATGAGGACAACTGTCTCTGTTGTTGGAAACTCACCTAAAATGTTTGATGGGCTTATTTGAACAATGTGATCACATGACTCCTTCTGATGTTACTGCAGATCTGCTGTAAGCTAGCTAGCTAACGTAGCTAACCTAGTCATTTCAGATATAGGCTACTGACAAACACTGACAGTTATGAGCAGTGGCGTTTTTATATGTACAAAAGTGGTGGGGCACAAAAAACTTAGATGTCTATATATAAGCTTCTGCAGTGACGTGCAGTGAGGTTCATGGCTGGTGAGGCACTGGCACTTAGAGATGGGCGAGTCGTGATTCATCCGGATCATTAACCCGGATCCTAGAAATGAGCTGGTCGTGACGAGTCTCCCCTCTCCATTAACCCGAGTCCTTTGAGTCCCACACTTGGTGTGACGTACAAATTAAAACTATAAATTGCGTCACTCGCTACTCTCTTTATAACATGTAAAATCACATTACAACGTACCCCAGTCCATCTACCTACCCTTTAGCAAGTATACAGGATAGCTGCCTGCCAGAAGTTATCGTTTGGCTCAGGGGAGGGGACGCGGATCAGTGAAACTTCCTGCAGACTCGTGGGGACTCAGAGGAGCCGACGGCTCCTAACCGTAATAGCATAGCAGATCCAGAGATCCATACTCGTCATGTGCACGAGCATAGCCCCTCCTCCAGCACCCGGCTCCCGCGCTATATTATGCACGAGTCAACAGCAGACTCGCAGATTCGCAGATTCGCAAATCCTGACTCGCTGCAACACACAGCAGAGCAGACTCGTGCGGACTCGGAGCCGTATATAGCAGCAGATCCAGAGATCCAGCAGACTCGTCCTCATGCACGAGTCCACAGCAGACTCAGATTTGCCAAATCGCAAAATAACCCTTTTTTTTGTGATCAACATTTTTTATTAAAGCAAAATACACTGTGTGTAGCGGAGGTTAATATAACGTCAGTTTAATAGATAGATAGATAGATAGATAGTACTTTATTGATCCCAAATTGGGAAATTGTTGTTGTTACAGCAGCATAAAAGGCATTTTACAATAAAACAAAACTACAAAATATATACATGTCGAAATAGAAAATATACATGCAGATATTATATATATATATATACAAATATATATATATATTCAAAATATATGGAATAATAATATGCTCGTGAAATGCATCAACTTTTCGGTTTCACCGATAGGATTTCTACGGTCTTGGTGATGCTGACTCATATGACTCAAATGACTCGTATGATCCGGATCTCTTCAATGACTGACTCAGAAGACCCTGAGTCCGTAAAAGGATCCGGATTTGCCATCTCTACTGGCACTGACTCTTCAGGTTTACAAATATTATATTTTGACCTAAACCAAAATATAATATTATTTTCAAAAGCTTTTTTTGTCTGATGCTTCGATTAATTTTAAACAGACAGTTCAACAAAAGGATACCCAAAAAATGTAATTTTATCATTTAAATATTGAATTGTTCTCTCTTAGTAAGATCCCATTTTCAAAAAATTGCGGTCTTACCTTGACTTGAAGATGAAGTCCATTTGCCTATCCTTCTGGACAAAAATGTCTATAACTTTTTTGTAAAAGTCCTCCTTATCTTCTTGTAGTTTCAAAAGTCTATCATAAATCTAATCGATAGATTTATGATAAAAAAATTATAAAAGTAGGGTAGACATGTGGATGTTATCCGGCTGAACAAAACGTGCATTTATCTAACAGGTACGTTTCCCACAGATCTTATTTCGAGCTATTTTCTAAAATCCTATGGAGAAATCTCATTGCTTTTTTGCAGCTTACTTCCTGGTTTTAGGACGCGTCACTGCAGCTCTCTCGTCTCCTCTTCACACGCCACACTTTTCGCGGCACACGTACTTACAGCCAATCAGCTCTGAATGATGTGAGATGACGTATGGTGGGGATGGCAGCTCTGTGCCCCTATGGTCTTTTTTTTTGCCACACACATTACATTGAAAAATACTCTGAGCATGCGCAGTGTAGTTTTTACAGTCACCGTTCACTTAGACAGTGAGAGGGTGGGGCATGATCAGGTTTTGTCCCACATGGCTCAAAACGGCACTGTAGACACTAATTAGAAGAACACAGACTAAAACAGCAATGTACAGACGAATCAGATGATTAAACATGACCTTAAAATATATTTTATATATTTTTTTATTACTTTTTTTGCATCTCTTTGCATTTTTTGTAATCATTATGTGTAATACTTTCTGCTGACACTAGGTGGGGCTGTGCCCCACCTGCCCCTAATGACCAGTCGCCACTGGTTATGAGACAGACTATTTCTGCCATATAATAGATACAATAACATAATATTAGTATTGTAAAAGTGTAACAAGGGTGAATAAATCTGAGAGGATTTAATATAATACACATTTAATAAAACAGTCTGGTAAATTCAGAGAAAAACACGTTACTGCCCTTAAAATGGGGAATAACAATATAAAGATATACAAAAATGTAAGTCAATATAATGTAATAAAAATATAATAAACAGTCAGGTTAATTCAGAAAATTATATCATGTAACTGCCCTGAAAAATATAATTACTAAGTCAAGTAAATTCGGAAAACAATATTACGTTAAAACGCCCTTAAAACGGGGAAATAACTATATAAATATATATGTTTTAATATAATCCTGAGGGTTGTCTCAGATAATGTCTGTCTTCTTATTGATTGTCTTGGAAAAGCTGGTTTTATTTCACTGGCATGAACAGAAGATGCAGTAAAATGGAGATTCAGCCCAGTAAATACAAGACATCACACTTTTGTTCGTTGACATTTATTACAAATCTTGAATTCCCTCTAAAATCTTCCAAAATGACGGCAGTATATACAGTATTAAAAAAATTCTTTTTACATACAAAACCAGATTTAGATCTCAAATAGTAATCTTTCCCCATAAAAATTCATAATTCAAACTTTTACATTTAAAAAAGGCTCCCTCACATACAGAACATTTATACCAGTGGTGTCCAAACTACGGCCCGGGGGCCATTTTGAATCGGCCCTCAGCAAATTCAAAAAGTATAATGGAATATGGCCCACAAATGAAACGTGTGCTTGTCTTATATTGTACTTCTTAAATATAAATGTAAACATAAATTACACAGTAGTATTCATGTGTTAATAAGACCACTTTTCAAATAAATTCAGTCAATTGAAGCTGAAAACATTTTCTAACAAATCTTAGTTGATAAGAAATAAGTCCAATAATATATTTACCAATCAATCTTGAAATAGACCCTTCATATTTCCCTTTATTATAATCAATCTGAGCT